CCACCACCTCCAACCCGACCACCACCTCCAACCCGACCACCACCTCCAACCCGACCACCACCTCCAACCCGACCACCACCTCCATCCCGACCACCACCTCCAACACCACCACCTCCAACCTGACCACCACCTCCAACCTGACCATCCCGACCACCACCTCGACCAACATCATCTCCTCCACCCCCCCGCCCCCTGCAGGAGGCAAGGAGGCATCCGAAGAGGTCTACATCGCTTCTGTCACCTGCTCCGGTAAAAGACTCCTGAACCAGGACTAAACCAGGACTAAACCAGGACTAAACCAGTTATTGATCCTTTTTTCAGGCAGTAAGTCGGTGAACCTGTCAAGCAGCTGCTGGGGCTTCGTGAGAGTGTGTGAGAGCGGCGGCGAGAGCGGCGGCGAGAGCGGCGGCTGTGGCGGTCTCTGTGGCGAGGCGTGGCCGGACAGCATGGGCGCCCTGCTGTGCCAGAGCCTCGGGTGCGGCGCCGGAACGGTCCCGGTGAAAAAAACGCAGCGTAACTTTCCCGTCCGCTTCAAGAGTCTGCACCTGCCCCAGCACCTGCCGCCCAACCTCACGGCGCTCCACACCGCCACCGTCGTCATGGGCGACCGCGACGACCAATCCTGCTCCAACAACGCCGCCTATGTGGTCTGCACGGGTGAGGGAGGGACCTGACACACGGGGAGGGACCTGACACACACGGGGAGGGACCTGACACATGGGGAGGGACCTAACACACACGGGGAGGGACCTAACACACACGGGGAGGGACCTGACACACACGGGGAGGGACCTGACACACACGGGGAGGGACCTGACACACACGGGGAGGACCTGACACTGGGGAGGGACCTAACACACACGGGGAGGGACCTGACACACACGGGGAGGGACCTGACACACACGGGGAGGGACCTGACACACACGGGGAGGGACCTGACACACACGGGGAGGGACCTGACACACATGGGGGGAGGGACCTAACACACACGGGAGGGACCTAACACACACGGGGAGGGACCTGACACACACGGGGAGGGACCTGACACACACGGGGAGGGACCTGACACACATGTTTGTGTAACTCTTTATTATTAGTCTGTTTATATCTCCAAAGCTCTGTTCCACCTTGTGATGTCATGAAGTGGTAGTTTCCAAGGCCCCGTTCACACTGCAGACCCAAATCGCAGGTCCAGAGAGAGGAGCTCAGGTCACAGCTCAGGTCACAGCTCAGGTCACAGGTCACAGCTCAGGTCACAGGTCACAGCCTCAGACTCAGGTCGTTTCTCTTCATTTGTTTTGTGGAGTTTTGTTTAATTTTCTGCTGTTTTGAGGCTGTTTCACATTTTGACTCATCGGCCCAAAATAAAACTGCTCATGTTTGAAAAACCAGAATCAAACAAATCACTTTTTACTGCACAAACGAAGCACAAACGACTGACTCCATTTTGTGCGTTTTATTTCATTTTGAATCTTCCTGGGGCTGTGACCCAAGTCTGACGATAAAAGAATCACTAATGTCTCCAAAACTGAAGCAGCACAAACAAAAACCATAAACGTAGTTTTTGTGCAGATTTGCGTCTGACGAGGCGACTTCCCGCAGGCTGAACGTGTCTGTGAACATTTCTACCCCCCCAGGTTCTCTGTCCGCTCGCCTGGACCCGCCGTCGGACCGGTGCTCGGGGAACGTGCAGGTGTTGGTGGAGGAGGCGTGGCTGCCGGTGTGTGAGGAGGTGGTGTCGGACCCACACACGGCCGCCGTCCTCTGCGCTCACATGGGCTGCGGCTCCGAGGGAAACTTCATCCCGTATCAAGGCCACGCCCCCGGCGGCCAGCTCCTGTCCGGACTCCGCTGCCCCGAAGGCAACCGCGACTTCAGCACCTGCAGCGTCTCTACACCCATCACCAGCAGCACCTGCCGGCCGGGAGGCCTCCGCTGCTCCGGTACGAACGCCGTCTCTCCGTTTATCTCTCCATTTATCTCCGTTTCTCTTGCGCCCCCTGCAGGTTGGGGGCAGGTGTTGTGTGTTTTACCTGTGGTGTCTTGCGCCCCCTGCAGGTTGGGGGCAGGTGTTGTGTGTTTTACCTGTGGTGTCTTGCGCCCCCTGCAGGTTGGGGGCAGGTGTTGTGTGTTTTACCTGTGGTGTCTTGCGCCCCCTGCAGGTTGGGGGCAGGTGTTGTGTGTTTTACCTGTGGTGTCTTGCGCCCCCTGCAGGTTGGGGGCAGGTGTTGTGTGTTTTACCTGTGGTGTCTTGCGCCCCCTGCAGGTTGGGGGCAGGTGTTGTGTGTTTTACCTGTGGTATCTTGCGCCCCCTGCAGGTTGGGGGCAGGTGGTGCTGTTGAAGGGGCAGGACTCTTGCTCTGGCGTCGCCTTCGTGTTTTCTCAGGGTCTGAGTCGAGCCGCTGTGAGCGCCACCTCCTGGACACAGGCAGAGACCACCCGCCTGTGCCAAGACCTGGGCTGTGGCACCTCAGGCAACCACACCACACCCACACAGGTACTCACCACCAGGGGGCACCCGCACAGGTACTCACCACCCACCAGGGGGCACCCACACAGGTACTCACCACCCACCAGGGGGCACCCACACAGGTACTCACCACCCACCAGGGGGCACCCACACCACCCACCAGGGGGCACCCACACAGGTACTCACCACCCACCAGGGGGCACCCACACCACCCTAACCCCTGACAGAAAATGTGTTTCCTAAACATGTTTTATCTGTGTAATTTTGTTTATTTCATTATATTTTGTTGTTTTCCTGTTCTCCTGTTGTTCTCATGTTGTTTTCCTGTTCTCCTGTTGTTCTCGTGTTCTCCTGTTGTTCTCCTGTTGTTCTCATGTTCTCCTGTTGTTCTCCTGTTCTCCTGTTGTTCTCCTGTTGTTCTCGTGTTCTCCTCTTGTTCTCCTGTTGTTCTCTTGTTTTCCTGTCGTTCTCCTGTTGTTCTCATGTTCTCCTGTCGTTCTCCTGTAGTTCTCCTGTTGTTCTCATGTTCTCCTGTTGTTCTCCTGTTGTTCTCATGTTCTCCTGTCGTTCTCCTGTTGTTCTCCTGTTCTCCTGTTGTTCTCATGTTCTCCTGTTGTTCTCCTGTAGTTCTCCTGTAGTTCTCCTGTCGTTCTCCTGTTGTTCTCATGTTCTCCTGTTGTTCTCCTGTTGTTCTCCTGTTGTTCTCCTGTTGTTCTCATGTCCTCCTGTAGTTCTCCTGTTCTCCTGTTGTTCTCCTGTTGTTCTCATGTTCTCCTGTTGTTCTCCTGTTGTTCTCCTGTCGTTCTCCTGTCGTTCTCCTGTTCTCATGTTCTCCTGTTGTTCTCCTGTAGTTCTCCTGTAGTTCTCCTGTTGTTCTCCTGTAGTTCTCCTGTAGTTCTCCTGTTGTTCTCCTGTAGTTCTCCTGTAGTTCTCCTGTTGTTCTCCTGTAGTTCTCCTGTAGTTCTCCTGTTGTTCTCCTGTAGTTCTCCTGTAGTTCTCCTGTTGTTCTCCTGTAGTTCTCCTGTTGTTCTCCTGTTGTTCTCATGTTCTCCTGTTGTTCTCCTGTTGTTCTCCTGTTGTTCTCCTGTTGTTCTCCTGTAGTTCTCCTGTAGTTCTCCTGTTTCTCCTGTTCTCCTGTTCTCCTGTTCTGTAGTTCTCCTGTTGTTCTCCTGTCTCTCTGTAGTTCTCCTGTTGTTCTCCTGTAGTTTCTCCTGTTGTTCTCCTGTTGTTCTCATGTTCTCTGTCGTTCTCCTGTTGTTCTCCTGTAGTTCTCCTGTTGTTCTCATGTTCTCCTGTCGTTCTCCTGTTTTCTCCTGTTGTTCTCCTGTTGTTCTCATGTTCTCCTGTCGTTCTCCTGTTGTTCTCATGTTCTCCTGTCGTTCTCCTGTAGTTCTCCTGTTGTTCTCATGTTCTCCTGTCTTGTCTCCTGTTGTTCTCATGTTCTCCTGTCGTTCTCCTGTAGTTCTCCTGTTGTTCTCATGTTCTCCTGTCGTTCTCCTGTAGTTCTCCTGTCGTTCTCCTGTTGTTCTCATGTTCTCCTGTTGTTCTCGTGCTCTGTGTTCTTCAGGAAATTACCTCAGCCTTTTGGAGCGGTTCCTTTAACTGTTCCTCTGTGAAGAACCCTCAGAACCTGTGGGAGTGTGCGAGTCCCCACAAACCTCCGAGCAACCGCCAGCTCTACGTCTCCTGTGCAGGTGAGACTCACGGGCGGGTGAGACAGGTGAGACAGGTGAGACAGGTGAGGCAGGTGAGACAGGTGAGGCTCACGGGCAGGTGAGACAGGTGAGACAGGGGAGACAGGTGAGACAGGTGAGGCTCACGGGCAGGTGAGACAGGTGAGACAGGTGAGGCTCACGGGCAGGTGAGACAGGTGAGACAGGTGAGACAGGGGAGACAGGGGAGACATGTGAGACTCACATACAGGTGAGACAGGTGAACCAGGTCTAAACCAGGTCTAAACCAGGACTAAACCAGGACTAAACCAGGTCTAAACCAGGACTAAACCAGGACTAAACCAGGTCTAAACCAGGACTAAACCAGGACTAAACCAGGACTAAACCAGGTCTAAACCAGGACTAAACCAGGACTAAACCAGGGATTACACATAAGGACACGTTTTTATCATCGTGGGATCAGAATCGGTATCAAGTATCGAGTATCGAGTCTGTTCCTTCATATTGAAATGAGTTTGACATTGTAGTATCATGATGACAGTTTGAGGAGTCCTGTGTTTTTACCGTGTTCCCTGTAGCGCCCCCTGTCTTCAGCCTGAGCCGGTCGTGTGGGGGGCAGGTGCTGCTGAACGGAGAAGCCGTGTGTGATTCTCTGTGGAACGAGTTGACCTCAGAGCTCATGTGTTTGGAGACGGGCTGTGGAAGCGCCGTTTCCAACTACCAGGACGACCACACACAAGCGACCAGGTCAAAGTTCAACACCGACGCAAACGCCGACGCAAACAAACACCGACACAAACACCGACGCAAACAAACACAAACACCGACGCAAACACCGACACAAACAAACACAAACACCAACGCAAACAAACACCGACACAAACACCGACACAAACACCAACGCAAACAAACACCGACACAAACACCGACGCAACAAACACACCAACGCAAAAAACACCGACACAAACACACACAAAAACACCGACGCAAACAAACACGACGCAAACAAACACCGACACAAACAAACACAAACACCGACGCAAACACAGACACAAACAAACACAAACACCGACGCAAACAAACACACAACACCGAAAACACACAAACACCGACGCAAACACAAAAACACACAAACACCGACAAACACCACACACAAACAAGACAAACACCGACGCAAACAAACACGACACAAAAACACGACGCAAACAAACACAAACACCGACGCAAACACCGACACAAACAAACACAAACACCGACGCAAACAAACACCACACAACACACACAAACACAGACAAACACCGACGCAAACAAACGACCGACAAAACAAACACAACACAAAACACGACGCAAACACCAACACAAACAACACAAACACCGACACAAACACCGATGCAAACACAGACGCAAACAAACACCGACACAAACACCGACACAAACACAGACGCAAACAAACACCGACACAAACAAACACAACACAAACACAGACGCAAACAAACACCGACACAAACACAAACAAACAACCGACACAAACAAACACGACACAACACAAACACCGACGCAAAACACAGACGCAAACAAACAAACACCGACAAACAAACAAACACCGACACAAACACCGACACAAACACCGACGCAAACACAAAACACCGACGCAAACAAACACAAACCGACACAAACACAGACACAAACAAACACCGACAACAAACACAACACACAAACACAAACACCGACAAACAAACACACAGACAAACACAGACGCAAACACCGACGCAAACAAACACACACAAACAAACACCCGACACAAACAACGACGCAAACACCAACAAAACAACACACAAACGACACAAACACCGACACAAACACCGACACGCAAACACCAACACAAACACGACACAAACAAACACCGACACAAACACGACGCAAACACAAACACACACACAAACAAACACACACAAACACAACACAAACAACACGACACAAACACCGAACAAACACCGACACAAACAAACACAAAACCACAAACACCGACACAACGCAAACAACACCACACCAAACACCGACACAAACACGACACAAACAAAACACAACACACAAACACCGACGCAAACACAGACACAAACAAACAGCGACACAAACACAGACACAAACAAACAGCGACACAAACAAACACCGACACAAACAAACACAGACACAAACACAGACGCAAACAAACACCGACACAAACAAACACGACCAAACACAACACAAACACACGACACAAACACAACACAAACAAACAACACAACAAAACACAACACAAACAAACACAGACACAAACACAACACAAACAAACACCAACAAAACACCGACACAAACACACGACACAAACACAGACGCAAACAAACACCGACGCAAACACCAACACAAACACCGACAACACAAACACAAACACACCGACACAACACCAACACAAACACCGACAAAACACCGACACAAACAAACACCGACGCAAACAAACACCGACACAAACACCGACGCAAACACCGACACAAACACAGACGCAAACACACAACACAAACACCACACAAACACCGACGCAAACACCGACACAAACACCGACGCAAACAAACAGACACAAACACACGACGCAAACACCGACACAAACACACGACACAAACACCGACGCAAACAAACACACCGACGCAAACACCGACACAAACACAACACAAACACAACACAAACACACAAACACACCGACGCAAACACCGACACAAACAAACACACCGACGCAAACACAACGCAAACACCACGCACAAACACCGACACAAAACACCGACGCAAAAACCGACACCAAACACAGACGCAAACAAACACCGACACAAACACCGACGCAAACACCAACGCAAACAAACACCGACACAAACACAGACACAAACAAACACCGACACAAACACCGACGCAAACAAACACCAACACAAACACCGACACAAACAAACACCGACGCAAACACAAACACACGACACAACACCGACGCAAACACCAACACAAACACAGACGCAAACAAACACCGACGCAAACACCGACGCAAACAAACACCAACACAAAACACCGACGCAAACAAACACCAACACAAACACCAACACAAACACCGACACAAACAAACACCGACACAAACACCGACACAAACACCGACACAAACACAGACGCAAACAAACACCGACACAAACACCGACGCAAACAAACACCAACACAAACACCGACGCAAACACAGACGCAAACACAGACGCAAACAAACACCGACACAAACACCGACGCAAACACCAACACAAACACCGACGCAAACAAACACCAACACAAACACCGACGCAAACAAACACCACACAAACACCGACGCAAACAAACACCGACACAAACACCGACGCAAACAAACACCGACACAAACACCGACGCAAACACAGACGCAAACAAACACCGACACAAACACAGACGCAAACAAACACCGACACAAACACCGACGCAAACACAGACGCAAACAAACAAACACACGACACAAACACCGACAAACACGACAAACAAACACCGACACAAACACCGACGCAAACAAACACCAACACAAACACCGACGCAAACACACAACGACAAACAACAGACGCAAACAAAACACCGACACAAACACGACGCAAACACAACACAAACACCGACGCAAACAAACACCAACACAAACACACACGCACAAACAAACACCGACACAAACACCGACGCAAACAAACACCGACACAAACACCGACGCAAACACAGACGCAAACAAACACCGACAAACAAACACCGACGCAAACACCACACAACACAAACACACGACAACAAACAAACAAACACCGACACAAACACCGACGCAAACAAACACCGACGCAAACACCGACGCAAACACCGACGCAAACAAACACCGACACAAACACAGACGCAAACACAGACACAAACACCGACACAAACACCGAGGCAAACACCGACGCAAACACAGACACAAACACCGACGCAAACACCGACACAAACACCGACGCAAACACCGACGCAAACAAACACCGACGCAAACACCGATGCAAACAAACACCAACACAAACACCGACGCAAACACCAACGCAAACAAACACCAAACACAAAACACCGACGCAAAACACCGACACAAAACAAACACCGACGCAAACACAGATGCAAACACCAACACAAAACACCGACACAAAACAAAACACAGACGCAAACACAGACGCAAACAAACACCGTCACAAAAACACCGACGCAAACACCGACACAAACACCGACGCAAACACCAACACAAACAACACCGACACAAACACCGACACAAACACCGACGCAAACACCAACACAAACACCGACACAGACAAACACCGACACAAACACCGACGCAAACAAACACCACAAAACACCGACACAAACACCGACGCAAACACACACGACCACAAAACACCGACGCAAACACCGACACAAACACCGACGCAAACACCGACAAACAAACACACAACACAAACACCGACGCAAACAAACACCGACACAAACACCGACGCAAACAAACACAAACACCGACGCAAACAAACACCGACACAAACACCGACGCAAACAAACACCGACGCAAACACCGACGCAAACAAACACCGACACAAACACACAGACGCAAACACAGACAAACAAACACCGAACAAACACCGACACAAACACGCAAACACCGACGCAAACACAGACACAAACACCGACGCAAACACCGACACAAACACCGACGCAAACACCAACGCAAACGAACACCGAAGCAAACACCGACGCAAACAGACACCAACACAAACACCGACGCAAACACCAACGCAAACAAACACCAACACAAACACCGACGCAAACACCAACGCAAACAAACAGCGACACAAACACCGACGCAAACACCGACACAAACAAACACCGACGCAAACACAGACGCAAACACCAACACAAACACCGACACAAACAAACACAGACGCAAACACAGACGCAAACAAACACCGTCACAAACACCGACGCAAACACCGACACAAACACCGACGCAAACACCGACACAAACACCGACACAAACACCGACGCAAACACCGACGCAAACACACACACAACGCAAACACCAACGCAAACAAACACCGAAACACCGACGCAAACACAGACGCAAACACCGACGCAAACACCGACACAAACACCGACACAAACACCGACGCAAACACCGATGCAAACAAACACTGACACAAACACCGACGCAAACACCAACGCAAACAAACACCGACGCAAACACCGACGCAAACACAGACGCAAACACCAACGCAAACACCGACACAAACACCGACGCAAACACAGACCCAAACACCGACTCAAACACCGACGCAAACACCGACGCAAACACAGACGCAAACACAGACACAAACACCGACGCAAACACCTACACAAACACCGACGCAAACACAGACGCAAACACAGACGCAAACACAGACACAAACACCGACCCAAACACCGACACAAACACTGACGCAAACACCGACACAAACACTGACGCAAACATCGACGCAAACAAACACCGACGCAAACACTGACGCAAACAAACACCGACACAAACACCGACGCAAACACCGACGCAAACAAACACCGCCGCAAACACCGCCGCAAATAAACACCAACGCAAACACCAACGACACAAACACCGACGCAAACACAGACGCAAACACCAACGCAAACACCGACACAAACACCGACGGAAACACAGACGCAAACACCAACGCAAACACCAACACAAACACCGACGCAAACACCTACACAAACACCGACGCAAACACCGACGCAAACACAGACGCAAACACAGACACAAACACCGACGCAAACAAACACCGACACAAACACCGACACAAACACAGACGCAAACACAGACGCAAACACAGAGACAAACACAGACGCAAACACAGACGCAAACACCGACGCAAACACAGACGCAAACACAGACGCAAACACAGACGCAAACACAGATGCAAACACCGACGCAAACACACTCGCAAACACAGACACAAACACAGACGCAAACACAGACGCAAACACAGACGCAAACACAGACACAAACACCGACGCAAACATGTTGACTTGTTATTCACCTGTCGTTCACCTGTCATTTACCTGCCTTCGCCTCCAGGGGGAAGAGTTATGCCCACGTGAGCTGTGAGCAGCATCATGCGCGTCTGGGGCAGTGCCGACGATTCAGGGCTCCGTGTCAAGGACGACTGGTCTCTGTGCTTTGCAGCGGTACAACCACCTGACCACGCCCAAAACCACCTGACCACGCCCAAACCGCCTGACCAACCACCTGACCACGGCCACAACCACCTGACCACGCCCAAACCGCCTGACCAACCACCTGACCACGCCCACAACCACCTGACCACACCCACAAACACCTGACCATGCCCATAACCACCTGACCACACCCACAAACACCTGACCAAGCCCCAAACCGCCTGACCACGCCCACAACTGCCAGACCACACCCACAACCACATGACCACGCCCACAACAACACCCAATAACATGATAATATCTGCACAAACACACAAATATACAAGTACTTTCATCATGTGTGTATATTTGACATATCTGTGTATGTGTAGATTTGTGTACATTGTGTATTTTTGTACACAGTTTGTGTATCCTTGTGTGTCGCAGATGTTTGTGTATGTGTGTGTGTGTGTGTCGCAGAGCGGGTGCAGTACAGTTTGTCTGAAACGTGCGGCGGGGACATCTTGATCAAAATGGAGGACGGCGTGGAGGAGCGAGTGTGTTCCAGCAAGGGACTCCCCCTGAGCCTCCAGAATAAACTCTGCTCCGAGCAGAAGAACTGCAAAGGCGTCAAACACCAGTCGCTGCCGCGACCCAAGGACCAGGTGAGACACAAGGACCAGGACACGAGGACCAGGACACGAGGACCAGGTGAGACACGAGGACCAAGTGAGACACGAGGACCAGGACAGGAGGACCAGGTGAGACACGAGGACCAGGACAGGAGGACCAGGTGAGACACGAGGACCAGGACACGAGGACCAGGTGAGACACGAGGACCAGGACACGAGGACCAGGTGAGACACGAGGACCAGGACACGAGGACCAGGTGAGACACGAGGACCAGGACACGAGGACCAGGTGAGACACGAGGACCAGGACACGAGGACCAGGTGAGACACGAGGACCAGGACCCTAACCAGGAGCAGGTCAGACCTTATCAGTGTGAGCAGAAGGTGCAGACTCCTCAGACTCCTCAGACTCCTCCTCAGACTCCTGAGACTCCTGAGACTCCTCCTCAGACTCCTGAGACTCCTCAGACTCCTGAGACTCCTGAGACTCCTCCTCAGACTCCTGAGACTCCTCAGACTCAGACTCCTCAGACTCCTGAGACTCCTCAGACTCCTCCTCAGACTCCTCAGACTCCTCCTCAGACTCCTCAGACTCCTCAGACTCAGACTCCTCAGACTCCTCAGACTCCTCAGACTCCTCCTCAGACTCCTCCTCCTCAGACTCCTCCTCAGACTCCTCCTCAGACTCCTCCTCAGACTCCTCAGACTCCTCCTCAGACTCCTCCTCAGACTCCTCAGACTCCTCCTCAGACTCCTCAGACTCCTCAGACTCCTCCTCAGACTCCTCAGACTCCTCCTCAGACTCCTCAGACTCCTCAGACTCCTCCTCAGACTCCTCAGACTCCTCCTCAGACTCCTCCTCAGACTCTCCTCAGACTCCTCCTCAGACTCCTCAGACTCCTCCTCAGACTCCTCAGACTCCTCAGACTCCTCCTCAGACTCCTCAGACTCCTCCTCAGACTCCTCCTCAGACTCCTCCTCAGACTCCTCCTCAGTCTCCTCAGACTCCTCCTCAGACTCCTCAGACTCCTCCTCAGACTCCTCAGACTCCTCCTCAGACTCCTCAGACTCCTCAGACTCCTCCTCAGACTCCTCAGACTCCTCAGACTCCTCCTCAGACTCCTCAGACTCCTCAGACTCCTCAGACTCCTCAGACTCCTCCTCAGACTCCTTCTCAGACTCCTTCTCAGACTCCTCAGACTCCTCCTCAGACTCCTCAGACTCCTCCTCAGACTCCTCCTCAGACTCCTCAGACTCCTCAGACTCCTCAGACTCCTCCTCAGACTCCTTCTCAGACTCCTTCTCAGACTCCTCCTCAGACTCCTCAGACTCCTCAGACTCCTCAGACTCCTCCTCAGACTCCTCAGACTCCTCCTCAGACTCCTCCTCAGACTCCTCAGACTCCTCCTCAGACTCCTCAGACTCCTCAGACTCCTCCTCAGACTCCTCTCAGACTCCTCAGACTCCTCCTCAGACTCCTCCTCAGACTCCTCCTCAGACTCCTCAGACTCCTCAGACTCCTCCTCAGACTCCTCAGACTCCTCCTCAGACTCCTCCTCAGACTCCTCAGACTCCTCCTCAGACTCCTCAGACTCCTCAGACTCCTCAGACTCCTCAGACTCCTCCTCAGACTCCTCAGACTCCTCAGACTCCTCCTCAGACTCCTCAGACTCCTCAGACTCCTCCTCAGACTCCTCAGACTCCTCAGACTCCTCAGACTCCTCCTCAGACTCCTCAGACTCCTCCTCAGACTCCTCAGACTCCTCAGACTCCTCCTCAGACTCCTCAGACTCCTCCTCAGACTCCTCAGACTCCTCAGACTCCTCAGACTCCTCAGACTCCTCAGACTCCTCCTCAGACTCCTCAGACTCCTCAGACTCCTCAGACTCCTCCTCAGACTCCTCAGACTCCTCCTCAGACTCCTCAGACTCCTCCTCAGACTCCTCAGACTCCTCAGACTCCTCAGACTCCTCAGACTCCTCAGACTCCTCAGACTCCTCAGACTCCTCAGACTCCTCCTCAGACTCCTCAGACTCCTCAGACTCCTCCTCAGACTCCTCCTCAGACTCCTCCTCCTCAGACTCCTCAGACTCCTCCTCAGACTCCTCAGACTCCTCAGACTCCTCAGACTCCTCAGACTCCTCAGACTCCTCAGACTCCTCAGACTCCTCAGACTCCTCAGACTCCTCAGACTCCTCAGACTCCTCAGACTCCTCAGACTCCTCAGACTCCTCAGACTCCTCCTCCTCAGACTCCTCAGACTCCTCAGACTCCTCTTCAGCCTGTGAGGACTTTTCTTTGGTTTGTTTCAGATGGAGTTGAACATCAGTCTGGACTCGTGCAAAGACGATCATCAGCACATCAAACACTGCCTCTCCAGGAAACGCTGCACCGAGCGCCCGGCACAGCTCTACTGTCCGGGTAAGACCTGACCCCTGACCCCTGACCCCTGACTCCTGACCACTGACCCATGACCCCTGACTCCTGACCACTGACCACTGACCCCTGACCCCTGACCCTGACCACTGACCCTGACCCATGACCCCTGACTCCTGACTCCTGACCACTGACCCCTGACTCCTGACCACTGACCCCTGACTCCTGACTCCTGACCACTGACCCCTGACTCCTGACTCCTGACCACTGACCCCTGACTCCTGACCACTGACCCCTGACTCCTGACTCCTGACCACTGACCCCTGACCCATGACCCCTGACTCCTGACTCCTGACCACTGACCCCTGACCCATGACCACTGACTCCTGACTCCTGACCACTGACCCCTGACCCATGACCCCTGACTCCTGACTCCTGACCACTGACCCCTGATGCCCTCCCTCAGGTTACGTGCCGCGCCAGCCTGATCCCCCCTCCGGACCCTCCTGGCTCCTCATCACCATGATCCTGGCGCTGGTTCTGATTCTGGCGCTCGCCGTTTTTTTCCTTCTTCGGTTTTACCTGCGACGCCACAACAAAACCATCAAACAACTACTGCGTAAGTCCAAAAGTACAACACTAGGAACGAGGAGGAGTAATAGTAGTAGTAGTAGTAGTAGTAGTAGTAGTAGTAGTAGTAGTAGTAGTAGTAGTAGTAGTAATAGTAGTAGTACTAGTAGTAGTAGTAAAACAACTTAGTACTTTTACATGTGATTCCAGTATTAGATTGGTGTGTGTTAGTATCGGCATAAGAGTTTGTATAACATGATATCGGTACAGTATCGGCACAGTATCGGCATGATATTTGTACGGTATCGGTATGGTAGTCATGTTGTGTTGTCTTCACAGCCATGTTTTCTCGGAGACCGAAGGAGGAAATTGACAGTGAAGAATATGAACAAGTGCCCTCCAAAGACCACGGTCAGTCTGACCTCTGACCTCTGACCTCTGACCCCCTGACCTCTGACCCTCTGACCTCTGACCCTCTGACCCAAGCCCCCAGGTTCCAAAATGGCCGCCCATTCAAGTCAATGGGCTGAGCTCAATGTCTCATGATCCCAGATTAGCCCGGCGAGGTTCTTCCAGTGGCTGTGGGCGACCGAGCATGTGCAGTAGAGTCTTTTCTCCCACGGGCAACACGCGAATGCACGCGACCACACGCACGGAGCGCGGACTCGTGTATCACGTGATCACTTTGACCAATCAGAGCGAGAGGAACGAGAGCGGAGCCGGAGCTAACGAATATAAAGCGTTTTTTTAAGACAACTGAAGGATTTTGAGCGAGAAAAAGTTTATGATCTAAAAATAGGTAAAAATCGCCACAAAATCTGACATATTTGAAAGTTGTAGGTCCTGTCAGACGAACACGAGCAGGTTGTGATCACGTTGCCTCTATGAGAAAAATCTTCTCTCGGCCCATGGGATTTTTTCGACTGTAGAACCACTGAGTGACACTACGACAACTCGAGGCAGAAACAAGCAGCAAAACTGTATCCAGTTATTTTAATAGATCCATGCTCTGACCCCC